TACCAGCTGGGACCTCTGTAAGGGCAACATCAGGCCACATCTACCTCATTCCTGGTACTGGACCATGTCACTGTTCAGGAAGTGTTTGGTGGATACATGGCCCATATGAGAGAAGGGAAGGGAGGGTGGCATGTGGGCGGGCCCCAGATGTCCTGGCCTGACAAGGTCAGCTCAGCACACACTTCTCTGGGGACCACGTGGGAGAGGCTGCCGTGGCAAGGCCTGCAGACCCCAGTCTTGTCCCCTCTGGATTAGGCTCCTCCGAATGGTCCGCATCACCCGGTGTCATTGCTGTGGCAGCAGCTGGAGGCTGCCCTAAGCCACCGATCCCCAGGTCCAGAACCACCTGCCCACATCCCGACACCTGATTGTTCTGTGCTGGTCCCTGGAGAGGGCAGATGGCCCAGCCTTGAAGTCTGGACTCCACCCTGCGGAGGAAGCACGCACCCATGTCACAGGTGCAGAGACCACTCGGCATTTGGGCTGCAGCTGCTCACACTTGCCCATCAGTGCCTCCCTCTCCTAACCCTGGAAACCCTTCACTTCCTCCACCTCCTAACAACTCCTGTTGGAGCCATTTTGAATGCGGCCCTAAGGCTCTCCCTGTCAGCCAAATGGGTGTCAGAAGCCATCTGTGTCTGAGCTGGTGGCAGCTGCTAGGAAAATGCTCGCATCCATATGAATCGATTTTGTTTTGCCTCCTAAGATCTTGAGTTGAGCAAGGGAAGATTTGCTGAATTATTCAGAGGTTTCATTAACCTGGGGAAGGCTGAACTGATGGCACAGGGAAGGGCAGGAGGAAGGAGCCTGGACACAGCTAGGGAGGTCAGTGCCACGGGCATTTCTGTGCCCCAAGGAGGGAGCTGCGAGGTATAGCCCCAGGCCAGCAGCAGCCCCCACCACCCTGACGAGGCCGGCGCTGCAGTGGCCCTCAGCAGAGCTGGCAGAGCTGGCTTTTGGTGCCTTACTGAGGTGAAGCTTCCCTTTGGCCTGTTCTGCCCAGCTCCGCATTGGAACTTCTTGCAGGGAACAGCATCACGGCTCCCACGCAGTGCCTCAGGCTGTTTCCCCACCTTCCCATTCAGCCTCCACGAATCCTTTAGAGGAAGGAAGGTAGGGGCGTGGTGGCTCAAGCCTATAATCCCAGCACTTTGGGAGGCCGAGACGGGTGGATCATTTGAGGTCAAGAATTCAAGATCAGCCTGGCCAATATGGCGAAACCCTGTTTCCACTAAAAATATAAAATTTAGCTGTATGAGGTGGCAGTAATCCCAGCTAGTCGGAAGGCTGAAGTGGGAGAATCGCTTGAACCTGAAAGGCGGAGGTTGCAGTGAGCCAAGATTTCACCACTGCACTCCAGCCTGGGCAACAGTGCGAGTCTGTCTCACAGAAAGAGAGAGAGAGAGAGAGAGAGAGAAGCAGGGATTTGTCCTCAGGTCCACATGGAAAGGAGTGGCACAGAGAGGTTAGGTCCATGACATAAAGCCGCAGGTGGTGGGGCCAGCATGGGGACCTGTGGCATCCACACGTGAAGCCTGTTCTGTTTCCCTGTCAAGGCTGTGTTCTCAGTGAGAAGGTAGGGGGGTCACAGATCAAGGCTGTGGCCACAGCGGGAAGGCAGGGGCCGCCACAGGAGCACCCTTTTGTGGAGCAGCAAAACCCCCTGGAGACCCTGGGGTGCCCCGCCCTGTAGTAGGGTGCTTGTGGGGAGTGGGTTTGTTGCAGTAGCACGCAGGGCACCCAGGAGCCCTGAATGGGACATCTCAGTCACATAATCACTGCTCTGAATTGGCCAGAGGCCTCACTGCTAAAGATCTGGCTCTCCTAAAACTTCCTCCCAGGAGAAGAAGATGCAGAGGAAAGTTGGGTCAGCTTTTGGAGAAGGAATGTCTGGACCACCGGGCTCTTGTTAAATGCAGTCTCAGGCTAGCCTGGGAGCCACTCAGACTGTCCGTGGGCAAGACCCGGAGGCTGCTGTCTACGCAAGCTTCTCTCTGAGGTGACCCATGTGGGCCCTAGAGGGGAAGATTCACTACTTTTGGGGAAGCCAACACTGAGGCTGACATTCTCGTTTTTTTTTTTTTTTGAAACAGGGTCTCCCTGTGTCTCCCAGGCTGGAGTGCAGTGACATGATTTCGGCTCACTGCAACCTCTGCCTCCCAGGTTCAAGCGATTCTCCTGCTTCAGCCTCCCAAGTAGCTGGGATTACAGGTCCCCGCCACTATGCCCGGCTAATTTTTGTATTTCTAGTACAGACAGGGTTTCATGATGTTAGTCAGGCTGGTCTCGAACTCCTGACCTCAGGTGATCCACCCACCTCGGCCTCCCAAAGTGCTGGGATTATAGGCATGAGCCACCACGCCCGGCCAGAGGCTGACATTCTCTAAATACCTGAGGGCAGAGCCTCTCAAACCCATGCAGCCCCTTCTGAGGGAAAAGGCCTCTGCCACACCTGATGCAAAGGGCTCCTGCAGGTGCCATATGACCTGCCCACATCACCACTGCCCACCAGCTGGAGTCACAGAAGACACACATATGCCACACACAAACATACCACATATCACACACACACATACAATACACAAACACCACATACATATACCACATACCACACACATACAACACACACAAACATACCACATACACCACACAGCACAGACATCACACATACCACACACATCACATGCCACACACACAAACAACACATAAACATACCACATATATCACATATCACACACACCACACACATCACATACCCCACCCACATATAACACACAAATGCACCACATACATACATCACATACCACATACACATCACACATACCACACACATCACATGCCACACACAAACACACCAGACACACAACCATGCACAGAGCATGCAAACACATGCTGCATACACATATCACATAACCACATATGCACACCATATATCACATATACATCACACATACCACACACATGCAACATGCCATACACACATAAAACACAAACACCACACATGCAACATACCATACACAAAACACACAAACACACCACACAAATACAACATACCCCACACACAGACAACACACAGACAACACACACATCACACATACTCCACACACAACACACAAACACACCACACACGTGCAACATATCACACACACAGCACATACACACACCACATATCACACACACATCACATATACTACACACATATACAACACCAACACACCACACGTGCAACAACCACACACATGCAGCACACACATACCACATACCACATATACATCACACATCTCACACACATGCAACATGTCACACACAGCACACAAACACACCAAACAACATACCACACATGCAAACACCACATACACATCACAGATACCAAACACACGCAACATACCACAAACACCCACGCCCACATTACACACACCACACACCCATCAGATATCACACATGCAACATGCCACACACACAGCACACACATGCAACATACACATATACACATACAACACAAACACATATACATGTGTACATATGTATACACATATACAACACACACATACCACACCTACCACACAAACACATATCACATCACACATACCACACACGTGCAACATAACACGGACATCAGACATCACACCTGCAACATGCCACACACACGCCACACACCACATACATGCAACATACCACACACATATATAACACAAACATATACGTACACATCACCCATATCACACACATGCAACACACCACAGACATTACACCTGCAACATGCCACACATACCACACACCACATACATGCAACATACCACACACCTATAACACAAACACATACCACATACGCACCACACATATCACACACATGCAACATACTACACGTGTGCAACATGCCATACACAAACACATACACACCATACCTCCACACACATACTACTCACCTCACACCTCACCTCACACACACACGTGCACACACGCACACACACAAACACACACAACTCAGGTGGCATTTGAAAGTCCAGCCTAAATAAGTTAAGGGTGATGTTAACTCACTGGCCCCACCAGAGTCTCGGCATATTGAAGCAGAGGTGCAGGGAGCGTGGGTCAGCTCTTAGTGGGTCAGCTCCGAGACAGCATGGCTGGAGTTAGTGCAGGAGCGGGCTCTGCCCTGGAGCCTGTGCAACAGTGCTGTTGGCTGGGCACTGTCCCCATCCTCCTCCTGGCCCCTTTGAAGGTAGATGTGGCCACGTGACTGCTCTGGCTGGTGGATTTGATACGTGCAGGGGTCACTTCCCCTCGAAAGCGTTTGAGAACCAAGGTGCCCTTCTCCATCTTACGCGTCCCTCATGGGGGCCCAAGGTCTGGGGGATGACAGGGAGCAGAGCCCACTGCGTGATAGACCTGCGGCAGGGCAATGAAGAAGCCTCTGTATTTTTGTGGCCCAGACTTGGGGGTTGTTACCACAGCATCACCTACCCCAGCCCGCTCCTAAGCCACACTTAGGAGCCAAACCACCACGAGGGCTCACTCACTCTATTTGGACTATTCATGTCCTTTGGGCGCTAAGCTAGAAGTGCAGGTGGAGTGGCCCATTAAGCAGAGGTGAGAATTCTGCTCCTAGGAGACAGTGCTGCAAATTTGTAATGCTTGGGTGTATACAGCTCAGTGTCAGCGGATACAGCAAAGCCTTTCTGAAAAACAAACATCAAACAATGATTGTGCAACACAGAGCTGCTAAAAATGCTTCAGTTATGGGTGGGAAAGAGTCTCATTGTGTCCTTCTTCCTTTTTTTCCATTGAAAGAGCATAAGCTCCACAAAGGTGACAGCCCTGGAATGTGGGGAGAATGGGGCTGGGAAAATGCCAGGTCTTCATTTTCTATCCCTCCCCCACCTCTCACACCCGCCCTTTTGAAAAGCAGAAAGTAATGCACAGATGTAAGGAGCTGTTTTCATTCTTACAAGCCCTCCCCTCTGTTCCCATGGCAGCCTGGCATGCTCCGCCATGCACTTTTCACACTGCATTTTGTCTGGTTCCTTGTCTGTCTCTCCCAACTGGGCTGTGAATGTCTCGCTGGCAGGGCCTGGCCTTCCTGCTTGCATCCCGGGCACCTGGCTGGGCACCTGGCCCTCTAGAGATGCTCAGTGATTGGTGAGTGGGTGGAGGGGGTAGGAGATGGGGCAAGAGGAGAGAGGTGGAGAGGAGGTGCCATGCAGGGAGGCCTTGGGCTGAGAAGCCAGTCCAAAAGTATTTCCGTGAGCACCCGCTGTGTACAAGTCACAGTGCAAGGCTCTGGGGAAAAGTCCAGATCTGTAAGACATATTTGCCAGTTTACAAACACTCTCATATATGTTATTTGTTTGAACTTCACAGCACTCTGGGGTAGTAAATTGTACAAGTTTATCCTCTTTTGAGAGTGGATTTACAGAGTTTCTGTGGTGTGTAGCAAACATGGCCGTGGCCTTGACCGTGCAACTTGCCTTGAGTCCTGGCATTTGCCCCCATCCAGCTACCTGGCCTTGGGAAGCCTCAGCAGCACAGGAAGCAGACTGGCTCTCCAGGGGCATGCTGTGCGCATGGCCTGGCCTGGCCTGAAACCTACGGCTGTTTATCTACTGAACAAAAGGACTGCAGCTGCCCTGAGTCTATGGGCAAGCTCAGACCCCAGGGGTGAGCCAGACCAGGAGAGGTGCCAGGGCCATGACTGCCTCATCTCTGGGTCTGTAGACCATCCTACAGAGCCTGGCCCAGGAGGCATGCAGTTGAATACACCCATGAGTGAGGTACAGGCAGCCTGGGTGGGGACAGTGTTCGGAAATCCCAGCTGTTCAAGAGTATGAGGGCAGAGATTAAACCAGAGATTAATCCTCAGGGATTAAACCAGAACCAAGGGAAGAGAGTAGCTGGGTGGCAGCCGTTGAGGTCATTATGGAGGGTTCCGTAAACCCCAGTAGGACTGGATCTGGGGAGAAGGTCTATTCCTGGTTTGTCATTTGTCACTGACCTCATGGTGTGGGGCAGTGCTTGACACAAACCTGCCACATCTCCACCAACCCTTTATTAGCACACGTTTATTGAACATCTACTATGTGCCAGGCTCTGTTCTAGGCCCTGGAGAAATGGCAATGGATGAAAACCCCTGCTCTTATATTCTAGTGAAAGGCACAGCCAATAAACAAAGAATAAGTCATTATAGAGCATACAGGATGATGAGCAGGGCAGCAGTGGGACACGGGGTGGGAAAGGCTGGATATGGGGGGGGCAGATGCTTTTCTCAACAGAGTGGCCAAGGATAGTCTACGCTGAGAAGGTGACATTAGAACAAAGAGGCAGTGAACGAAGTGGACATCCGGGGAAAGAACATTCCAGCCAGAGGCCCTGAGGCAGGAGCGGGCCTGGCACATTTGAAGTTGGAGCAGGGAGAGGGACGGGGAGAAGTGGGAGTGACGTTAGGGAGGTAGGGGAAGGGGCCAGATTGTATAGGGTCTTGTGAAGGATGGACAGTGGTTTTCCCTGCCTTTATCTGGAAGCTTCTGTTCTAGCTTCACTCTGCTATTAAAATCCATTGTCTCTCCGGCTACCCCTGTCTCTGAGGGAAACAGCCTGCCCTGGAGAAATTCTCGCATGGCCAGACACAGGCCTAGCTGACCAGCTGCAGGCTGGTGCTGACAGGTCCCGCACACCTTGGCATCTTCAGGACACCCAAAGGTACAGTTCCCAGAAGCGCCCGTCACACTCCACTTTCCTTGAATTGAACCACAACAAAATACAGAACCAAACTCCTTAACTGAACTGCAGGGTCAGGGCCTGCCTCTGCCTCCTGTCTGCACGTGGGCCTGCTTTAGGCTTCCAGCTCTGTAGAAGTTCAGGCTATTTGGTCAGGTGTGGTGGTTCACGCCTGTAATCCCAGCACTGGGAGGCCAGGGCCTGTGGATCACCTGAGCCTAGGAATTCAAGACCAGCCCAGGCAACATGCTGAAACCCTGTCTCTACTAAAAATACGAAAATTAGCTGGGTGTGGTGGTGTGTGCCTATAGTCCCAGTTGCTCAGGAGGCTGAGGCAAGAGAATCACTTGAACCCAGGAGGCGGAGGTCACAGTGAGCTGAGATGCAGCCACTGCACCCCAGCCTGGGCAACAGAGACTCCATCTCAAGAAAAAGAGGATTCTTTCTCACCTCCAGATATTTGTACATGTTGTTACCTCTGGCTGAAGCGCTGCAGAAAACTGCTTGATTCCCCACCCCTCCCCTCTGTCTGCACTGCGGTGGCTGCCTCAGCTTCCTCTCTCTCTTTCTCACTCTGATTCCTTGCTTTCTGTCTCCCTCCTCTTCACAGCAACCTCCCTAAGGGCTTCCCCTCCACCCTCTGAAGGTTCACTGAAATGAACCGACACTAGACAGATTAAAGGCATGCAAATGTATGAATGTGCAAGCATGCACGGGAGCCATACAAAATATGAGGCTCAAAGAAGGGCCAGATGGCTGGAGTTTAAATAGCACCCTCTTCATAGGGGAGAGGGAGGTGGGGGAACATAGGCAATTTTGAGGCATAATAAATTATTTTTAGGGGAAATGAATGAGCCTAAAAACCAGACAATAGCCTGGGATGAAGTGCCTCTGAGCTCCAGGGGAGGCGATGCCAACTTGCGGGAAGGTGAGGGGCGGAACGTCACTGTGAACAAAGGTTGCCTTATTATGCAGGCAAAGTCTCCCCGGTAATCTCTTGGAGCGGACCTCAGAAGAATAGATGAAAAGCCTGCCTGGGTGTGGTAGCAACTTTTATTCTTTTCTCTTCTCCCATGGTTAATCTTTCTGGTTATTTGATGAGATTCCTAGGAAGGGGGTCAAAGTGTTCCTTCTGGGAGGGAACTTCAGAGAGACCCCCTCCCTGTGCATGTGGGCGAAGAAACAAGAGAAGGCTAGAAAGTCTTTAGTTCTGAGACAGCTTCTAAGGCCTTCCAACTTCCTTTAATTCAAAAGCGCTGGGCACACGGAAGCGCCATGCTTTGAGGTATCATGAGCTCAAAGCAGCTTGAGCCCAAGCGGCTTGCACACAGGTGCCAAGACATTCTGGCTGAACAACGGGAGGCAAGGAAGCAGGTTATTGGCTCACTGGTTCTAATGACCAAACCTCAGGGTAAAGAGGAAGCTGGATGGAAGTGAAACAGCAGATGGGGCTCTTCCCCTAAGTGGCTTGACATGATCTGTGAAAATGGCTCATTATGCAATTGACCCAGAAAACCCCACAAAATCTTGCAAATCAAGAGGTTTCAATGTTTGTGTTCATTTTAAAGACACTTGTGAAACTGCCCAGGTCATCAAGGGCATGAATATATGAAAAGCCACAAAGTATCTGAACGATGTCACTTGACAGTGCGTATTTGTATTATTTCGTTTTCACACTGCTATAAAGAAGTGTCCCAGACTCGGTGATTTATAAAGGAAAGAGGTTTAATTGACTCACAGTTCAGCATGGGTGGGGAGGCCTCAGGAAACTTACATTCGTGGGAAAAGGCAAAGGGAAAGCAAGGACTTTATTCACAAGATGGCAGCAAGGATAAGTGCCAAGTGAAGTGGGAAGAGCCCCTTATAAAACCATCGCACCTCGTGAGAATTCACTCACTATCACGAGAACAGCATGGGGGAACCACCCCCATGATCCAATCTCCTCCCACTGTTACAGGGCTTTTCCTTAGTTCAGCTAAAGACAGGGTTATTTGTCCCACCACCATGAAAATTCAGGTTCACAGACAATTTGAAATGGTGAGTCAAACAGGATTCTATTTTCTTGCTAGGCTACAGTCCCTGCTAGAGCGCCTCAGGCCAGCAGCTGGAATCCCAGGTTCCACACAAGAGGAGGGGGGCCAGGCTCCTCCCTGCTCCAAATGGAGTGAACTTCCCGAGGCTGGGGTGGGCAGGGAAGCCGGTTGGAGCTTTTCCAGGCACCCCCTCCCACCTGGCTGTCTCATCACGAGGACCCTCCCCCAACATATGGGGATTACAATTCAAGTTGAGATTTGGGTGGGGACACACAGCCAGACCATATCAGTACCATTCTGATGTTATAACAGGGGAGTTGGTAGTGCCCAGGCCAAGCAGTGAGGCTGGATACAAGGTCAGTGGTCCAAAGAGAGTCCTGAGTTTTTGTTGCGCTAGCTTTAAAATGCAGAGAGCAATACTGAACGAAAGGGTTTAGATGTAGATTCTTTGGTCATTGAGCACATTCAGGTGAATAAACACCTAAGATGCCCCGCCAGACTTACGGAGCTCATGGTTGATTAACTCACACGTGAGCTCTCCCTGCCACTTCGAGATAATCCTTACTGAAAAGGAAGGAATTATTCCTAAACCAGAAGAGGAGATTGCTCGGAAGAAAAAGGTATCGCAGAAGAAACTGAAGAAACAAAAACGTGTGGCTCTGGAATAAACTCAGCATAAAATAAACGCAATTTAAAAGGAAAAAGAAGGAAAGTAGAAGTTGGAGCAGGAGTGGGAACAGGAGGTGGGTGTACTTGGGGCATGGAGCGCGGGAAGGAACACGCAGGAAGCTGGGTGCCGTGGGAATCTGCAGGCCAGTGACTTTCAAGGTGAGGCCAGTATCATTGTTTCTTTCCATTCACTCTTGTTGGGAACCTGAGAGTTCACGTGGAGTGGCCTTGGCTTTCCGGGACATTTCAAGCAATGGTGAATTCGAGCTTGTCCACATGGAGAGAATGCCCCATCTCCTAGACCAGCCAGGTACTGTGTTAGGTCTTCTGATGTCTCTTCTCCTTTAAACCTCACAACACTGCAATGGAGTCTCTGTTTTGCAGATGAGAAAAATGAGACTTATGGAAAGGTGAAGGGTTAAGAACCTTCACAGCTGCCACCACTGGGCCACGCTCCAAAAGGCAGCATCAACTACAAGGACCATGACCTTTTCTCTTTACTTCTGCCTCCCAGATTCAATGACAAGACCCGGCCTGTAGCAAAATGGAAACACCATTTTACAGGTCTCCCAGCTCCCAGGCAAGTGCTCCCTTCACTAAAGGCAGTTATTCCTGCAGATGTCTGTCCTAGGAGACCCACATGGCTTTGCTTTTCTCTGCAGCTGTCTCGGCCTCCTTCATGAAGAGGTAACCTTGCTTTTTCTGGCTGTGTTGGATCTTTACATGCATGCATTTGCAGTTCCCTCAGGCTAGGCCTGTGCTGGCAAAGGAGGACGCTGTCCCTAAAAGGCTCACAGCCTTCTCTTCTGTGACTCCAAGCCTGACTGATCCTGAGGACCAGAGAGCCAAGGACAGAGGTGGAGGCAGGAGTGCGTGGTGGCCTGATAGTTCTGAAACAGCAGGTGATCTCTCCCCAGTCCATCCCTCCAACCTCCTTGTCCCTTTATTCGTTATTTTTTCTCCCTATTTAAGCTGCTGTGTCTCTTGCCCCAGGGAAGAGGTATGAGAGCAGAAGGCAGAAAAAAAGCAGTTGCTTCCTGGCTTTTGTTTTCTAAGCCTTCCTAGAGCCGTAGGGGAACAGACAGTCACTTGGGCTTGGACAAAAGATCTAGGAGAAAACAGCAGGAGCGAAAGAGCAGAAGCTGAGCCCAGGCTAAGGTTCCTTGGCTGAGTGAAGGGAAAAAGGTGAGAAGTGGGTTCTAGGACCTGCCTCCTAACTGAGGCCCTGGGGATAGCGAGACCACGGGTGGGCTGATGGGACGCAGAGCAGGTCAGGGAGCCAGAGTGCGGGTGGGGTGGGGAGAGCTGACACCTGTTCTTTCAGAAAGTCTGGTGTCCCAGTGAAGTGACAAGGCCACAGAGGGGTTCCAGTGAATCCTAATGTAACCCCCCAATGGGTTCTCCTTGCCAGCTACCTAGACAGAGCCGATTTATTAAGACAGGGGAATTCCAATGGAGAAAGAGTAATTCACGCAGAGCTGGCTGGGAAAGAGAGCGAGCGTTTTATTACTACTCAAATCGGTCTCTATTATTACTAAAATCAGAGTTTTTAAAGCTAATTTGGCGGACAGGGGCTTGGGAAGTGGGGAATGCTGATTGGTCAGCTTGGAAATTGAATCATTGGGATCAAAGTGAGTTTTTCTTGCTGTTTCCCATTCCTGGGTGGGATGGCGGAACTGGTTGAGCCAGATTACTGGTCTAGTTTGTCAGCTGATCCATTGAATGCAGGATCTGCAAAACATCCCAAGCACTAATCTTAGGTTTTACAATAGTGATGTTATCCCCAGGAGCAATTTGGGGAGGTTCAGACTCTTAGAGCCAGAGGCTGCATGCCTCCCAAAATGTAATTCTAATCTTGTAGCTAATTTGTTAGTCCTGCAAAGGCAGACTGGTTCCCAGGCAAGAAGGGGGTCTTTTCAGGAAAGAGCTATTACCAATTTTGTTTCATAGTCAAATCATGAACTGAATTCCTTCCCAAAGTTAGTTTGGCCTACGCGCAGGAATGAACAAGGACAGCTTAAAGGTCAAAAGCAAGATGGAGTTGGTTAGGTCTGATTACTTTCACTGTCATTGTTTCCTCAGTAATGATATTGCAAAGGTGGTTTCACCAATGTAATAAGTGAAGGGGTCCCACAATCAGGAAGGTGGAACCTCTCATGGGGCCTCCCTGGCTGCTGCCCAGGAACATCTCAGCAGTGAGTGAGATGGTCCTTGTGAGGACAGATGACAAAGAGGATTGGTGGCCTCTATGTCTTGGCACTACACAAGGGTTCCTTTGTTCACCCACCTTGCTCTAGGACATAATCCCAGGGAAAGGGCAGGAGAGTACCCTGAAATCACTAAAATTAAGTTACTGCCATTTTTGGTGAAACTGGAGTTCAAAATAAGAATGTAAAAATTAATGCAAGATAAAGTTACTTTTCTTATTCACCTGAGTCATAGACAAGCAAAAATGCCACAGGAGCAGGGGGGAAAGGCATGAAGATTGCACTGGGTGGTTGGGGGGTGTGGTTGCAGAAGGCTCCCTGGAGGAGGTGAGGCTGAATTGAACATTTTAAGTTCTTGATATGTATGCCAATTTAAATTTCCAGTAATGTCAGAGCTCCTCCTCTAACCAAGACAGTCCTCTATTCTAGGGATGTCACCCCTTGGATGCTCAAAGCCCTGTGGGAAGGTCTCAGGGGACTGGTCCCAGAGCCTGGGTGCATGCTATTGACTATCCTCAGGGTGGCAAATTCCTGTGACCAGCAGAGCCCGCTGACTACTGTTTCCCGCAGATGCCCTGTCTGGCCAGCAGGGGGAGCAAGCTCACCGTGGCCCAGGGCGTGGCCGGCGCAGCAGGAGCCGCCAGGAGAAGGGTCGCTTTACTAGCTTGCTAGGGAGGGGCACCTTTGTCACAGGCAGACCCACCCTGGACTTTTTTCCCTCAGCCGTCAGCCCTGGGGCCAGCCCTGTATTTTCCTCTAAACAGTTATTTTGGGTGCTACTCCTGACATGTAACTGGGCAAAGAAGGTAGGAGTTGATGGCACGTCACGGTTTCCAGGGACCTCTTGGGACAGCTGGGAGCAGGGCTGGGCCTCCGGGGTTCCTCACCTGAACTCTCCGAGCCTGTGGGCTGTGGAGAGGCACTATCCTCCGAGTCAGGTAAAATGGCAAATGTCAACAAATAATTATAGGCAAAGGTGTCCATTGCACTCATTGAACAGAGGCCATTCCAAATGTCCCTCATCTTGTAGTCTCACCATACGATGAAATGTTATTTAGCGGTTAAAAACGCTGGCGTCTAGGGATATTTAATGACATGGGATAGTGCTCATATATAATGTGGATGTTTTTCTCCATTCATTCTTCCAGAATCACACACTGCCCTGCCACGTGCTCTAGGAGATTGGCCTCATGCTCCACATCACCCCCACTCCCTTCCCCTCTGGCTCCAAGCTGGGTTCAGCCAACAGGAGACAGCAGCAGAAGAGGGGAGGCTGGGAGGAGAGGCTGGGATCCGTCTCCTCTACTCTCTCCCCATCTCAATGCCTCCAAGACTGCAGCTCCCACTGGGCAGCCTCCCCCAGACTCTGTGACCACCATTTTTTGCCGTGACCCCCTTGGTCCTAAGGGTGGTAACAGCTTCCTGCTATTGCCAGCTCCTGGGTGCCTCAGCATCTTTTGTTGGTTCCCCTAAACTTGTCCACAACTCTGTAAATCATCCTTTACTAAATAGCCCTTCATCTGAAGCGTCAGTATGAATGCCGTTTCCTGCCAGGACTCTGCCCAATGCACATGTTAAGTGAAAAAGAAGAATACAGAACTTTGTATTTTTTAAAAGGCAGATATTTTATCTGTAATTTCACTAAACCCTTACAGCAATGCAGTGGAATGCAGCTGAAAGGAGTGTTGACACCAGATTCAAATTTAGAAAGCATTTGAAAGCATAGTCTAATAATGTCTCCATGGAAGAGGAAGAACGTGCTGACAAAGGAAAAGTAAAGAAGGTACTCTAGACATTTATTCCGTTTAGAAGCTGCCATAAGTTATTACCAGATTGTATTTTTTAATGCATAATATTTTAACTCTTAAGAACGTGTTTCTGGGCCAGGCGCAGTGGCTCATGCCTGTAATCCCAGCACTTTGGGAGGCCAAGATGGGACGGATCATGAGGTCAGGAGATTGAGAACATCCTGGCCAACATGGTAAAACCTTGTCTCTACTAAAAATTAAAAAATTAGCTGTGTGTGGCAGTGGGTGCCTGTAATCCCAGCTACTCAGGAGACTGAGGCAGGAGAATCACTTGAACCCAGGAGGCAGAGGTTGCAGCGAGCTGAAATTGCGCCACTGCGCTCCAGACTCTGCCTCAAAAAAAA